GCCGATTCCTGAGAACAAGCACGAGATTCGAAGTTTCCTCGGTTTGTGCACCTATTATAGACGATTCGTGAAAGGATTTGCCAACATTGCCAAACCATTAAAGTTGACAGAAGAGGGCAATGAGTACGAATGGAGTGAAGACTGTCAAAGAGCTTTCGAACATCTCCGGCAAGCTCTTACTATCGCACCTATCCTTGGCTACCCCAGAAATGAAGGAAAGTTTGTGCTAGATACCGATGCCAGTAACACCGCCATTGGAGCTGTTCTCTCTCAATTGCAAGACGGACAGGAAAGAGTCATTGCCTATTTCAGCAAAGTACTGTCGAAACCCGAGAGGAATTACTGTGTGACTAGGCGAGAGCTCCTGGGTGTGGTAAAGGCATGCGAACATTTCCATAAGTACCTTTACGGCCGCAAGTTCCTGATAAGGACAGATCATGCAGCGCTACAGTGGCTCTTGCAGTTCCGAAACCCAGAAGGACAGGTGGCAAGATGGTTAGAACGTCTTCAGGAATATGACTACGACATTGAACACAGGGCTGGAAAAGTCCACAATAATGCAGACGCTTTGTCAAGAAGACCGTGCAAGGACAACTGCACACATTGTTCTAAAATAGAAGACAAGATGGGCCATCTGCGGCGAACAACTGTAGAGAGTGAGGAATGGAAGCCAAGCGAAATCAAAACGGCCCAAGAAAACGACCCAAGTATAAAAACTGTTCTGAATTGGATGCGCCACGGACAAAGACCAGACTGGCAAGACATTAGTGCCACAAGTCCTGAAGTAAAGAGTTATTGGGGCCAATGGAATAGCCCGACTCTGAAAGACAACCTGTTGTATAGGACCCTTGAAAGTGAAGATGGCACCGAATCGACGCTGCAATTAGTAGTACCTAGAAGCAAAGTGTCGGAAGTATTGCGAAAATTGCATGACGGCGCTTCCGGAGGACACTTTGGTATTACGAAAACGTTGCAAAGGGTACGTGAGCGATTCTATTGGGTCAACCGTAAAGAAGATGTCCGGCGATGGTGTCAAAAATGTGAGTTATGTGCTACTGGAAACGGACCAGTTTCCAAGAAGAAGGCACCCATGAGGCAGTATAACGTTGGTAGTCCGATGGAACGAGTTGCTATCGATATCGCAGGACCGTTTCCCGAGACAGATGGCGGAAATAAATATATCCTAGTCGCTATGGATTATTTCACAAAGTGGACTGAAGCTTACGCCATTCCAAACCAAGAGGCAGCAACAGTTGCAGAAGTGTTGGTAAAGGAGTTCTTTACACGTTTTGGTGTTCCTATAGAAATCCATTCAGACCAAGGAAGGAACTTTGAATCGGCTTTGTTCCAAGATGTTTGTCGATTGGTAGGAGCCAATAAAACCAGAACAACACCTTTGCATCCTCAGTCAGATGGAATGGTGGAGAGAATGAATCGAACGATGGGTAAATATCTTTCAAAAGTCGTGGCAGAACATCAGAAAAATTGGGACCAGTACCTCCACCTGTTCCTTATGGCATATCGATCAGCCGTCAACGAGACCACGGGTCAGACTCCTGCCTGCCTTATGTTGGGTCGTGAGCTACGCCTTCCATGTGATCTCGAGTTTGGGCGTAAACCCCATGAAGAATATGTCGCAGGTGAAAATTATGTTGACCAACTAAGAGTGAAGATGAACGACATTCACGACTTGGCTAGAAGTCATATTCAGATTGCCAGCGATCGCATGAAAAATCAATACAACCTCCGCTCGGCCAATGAAATTTTTGAAGCTGGAGATCTGGTATGGCTGCACAATCCACAGAGACGAAGAGGTCTTTCTCCCAAGCTACAAAGACAATGGGAAGGTCCGTATGAGGTGATCAAGAAAATAAATGACGTGATATATCGTATCAGAATGAACCACCGAAAACCGAAAGTTGTCCACATTAATCGACTCGCACAATATGCCGGATCCAACAACAACGAAGAAGTTAGAGGTATTCGAGAAGAGGAACGCAGCTTTGGGATCGAGCCAAACTTTAACGATTTTATGTCAAATTACGCCCAGCGGAAGAAAGCTCGATTTGGCGCTACTCAGGAAATTTGTCAAAATATTTTTGAGCTTCCGATTAACGTTTCCATCGCCCATTGTGTCGCCGAAGACCTTCGCATGGGTAGAGGTATAGCTTCCGTATTCCGGAAAAGATTTGGAAGAATAGACGAGTTGTTAAAGCAAAGACCACGAGTGGGTAAAGTACTGCGCTTGGAAGATAATCAACGCTCTTTGTTCTACTTGGTTTCAAAGAAAACGTCAGAAGGCAAACCCACCTATGAAAACCTCTGGTCTGCTTTAAAAAGCTTAAAGAAACTCATGGCATACTATGACATAAATAGCTTGGCGATCCCGAAGATTGGATGTGGTTTAGATGGGTTGGACTGAAAAATAGTGTGAACCATGATCGAAGTGATTTTTAGAAACACTAGCGTTCGAATTACAGTATGCTGCTTCAACCCACAGGGGACGACCCTCCGCAAAACTGTGGACTGTTACTTTTTCAAGAAAGGTGTTTGTCGAGCAGGCTCTGTCTGCAGATTCCGACACGAGGCATTAAAAAGTAATACTAACGCAGTTTCTGAACGAGACGTCCAGAATTAAGAAGGGGGCAGTGTAACGGAAATGCTCCAGACGTGACGTCGCCTTTAGCGCTCTGGAATTTTCTACGCGTATTCTAGAATATTCGGGACTTACATTGCTTGCGTGTATAAATGGTTGCGGACCGAACATCGCGGGAGTCTACTATCGAACGAGATCGAGTGCGAACGAAACATAGAGCGCGAAAAGCTGATATAAATTTCGAAGTGTGTGATATAAATAATCGATATAAATTGTACGGTTTTTATAGTGTTTTAGTTTTGTTTAATAAATATTGATATAAATCGAACCCGAATTTATAAATCACGTTACAATATTTCTACGGGTATGCTGCATATAACTGTACCAGCAAATTCGGATAGTATAAAATCCAAGCCACTGGAAACCTGAAAACGTATTAATGGTCGGTGCCAAGATGGCCTCGCCAAAAGAGCATTGCCAATCTCCAAGCAATCGATGGTAATCGCACGCTTGATGCAAGAACCAAGGAAAAGTTGAACCGTGCCTCAGGTTCAAGGACAACCTTAATCACGGATCATTGGCACTAAGGGAAATGATAAAGCCTCCCTATCAACTCACAGGGTATCCACTCAGTGTGGCGCGCTAATCATGTAGCCTCTCCTTCTTGTTTCTCGTACTTTCTTTTTTGTACCCTTACAGATGTTCTGCTTCTTGTTTAAAGAAATACATTACAATGCGCCTTTTTTATCAATTAAATAAAATAAATCCGCTACGCTGCATTTTTACCAAATGATGGACCAATACTATTGAAAGCCAAATTGCAAGATGACAACGACAACTTATCGCTTGCAAGTTGTAAAACTATAAAAATAGAACTATTATTTAACTTTATTTATCTCCGTTGTACTATGTAATAACAACACTCTTTAATATTTTGATATCTATAAATACCAATCAAATGTAGTACGCTGTTAACAAAAACAAGATAAGGATTTTATAGGTCAACACCAATACATCAAGTACATTCAATATCTTGTAAGAGACTGAATTCATTGCAACACCAAAAACCTATACGGGGTGACAATTTGAAAACTTACCCCCCCCCCATGTCTTAGTAAATAAACGAGATATTTTAAAAAATCAAAATCCGTTTCGGTAATTCGGAGGAGGAATCACAATGACATAGTTGGCGACGCACCCCCTCCAACCCCCTGCGCCCCAGCCACCCCAACTTTTAAATCTTAAACAGTGACCCCCCATGTGTAATACGTCGTTGGAAATCTCTGAAAGCATTTTTTCAGAGCTTTCCAACGACGTATCACACATTGGGGATCACTCTTTAAGATTTTGGGGTGGCTGGGGCGCAGGGTGTTGGAGGGGGTGCGTTCCCCCTCCGAATTACCGAAACGGATTTTGATTTTTTTTAAATATCTCGTTTATTTACTAAGACATGGGGGGGGGGGGAAAGTTTTCAAATTGTCACCCTATGATAACCTTTAATTATTTTACAGCGATAGATTCGAAAAAAACAATATATGACTAGGTACATCAGAGATGTCCTTTTTACATTACCTATTAATATTTGAAAATGCTTACCTACTTGTTTGTTTAATTGCAAACCCCTAACTAATATCTGCGGCATATGCTTCTATAATGGCAAGCGTCAGTGTGCTCTTGTAGGGGACTTTTTGAAGCTTCGGAAGGCAAAGATAATACTATTATCTTTGCAGAAGGTAAAGATACTTACATGTGCTTGCTTTGAAACACCCCCTGTCTGAGTTGGTCTTTAGTTTTCAAGGAAATGAAAGCAGATACCTATTCTGTTTCGCAAAGCTCGGGCGTAGAAAACAACTAAGAAAATTCTAATTGCTTTGGCATTTAGTACCAATAATTTCGCAGGTTCAATCCAGAAGAGTTGATATTGAAAAATAGGCAAGTGCCTAACGAAATATCTATTAGCTGTTCTACTTCCACCGGACACCGGTCTTTAGGTTTTCTGTAACTTGGGTTACGGACCCAATTTCCAAATTTATTCTTCTGCAAACCAAAAGTATGCCCGGAAATTCTAAATCGTCTTCCATGTCAAAAATTTGAGAACTGCTGACTAAATACTTCTGTATTGTCAGAAAACCTTATAAAGGTTGCCGCACACTTGTCCATTCCGTTTCGTCACGTTACGAACCGCTAAAAAACGTTGAACATAAAAGGCATTGAATTAAACGTCTCTGCGCACATTAGCCCGTTCCGTCAGGTTACGTCAAGACTCATAAGTGTGCGTTATCGCGAACGTGACGGAACGGATTTGTGCGACAACCTTAATACCTACAAAATATTTATTGCCCAGAAGACTAACAGAACAAACTGACTGAAATATTTATCAACAAATAATTTGTTTTTGTTGCAGGTGAAAAATTTATTTTAATGGACAAGCTAAGTACTGTCGAGAGGGTGATTCTCTGTGCATCTGAGTTGTTCGGAACCGCAATTTTGGTATTCCTGGGATGTATGTCATGCGCAATAGGACTTTCTGGTGGTAATGTTCCACATGTACAGATTTCTTTCGCGTTTGGACTTGCAGTTATGCTATCAGTGCAGGTAAGTTTCTTCTTTGTGTAGGTACATTTTTTTCTATTCAAGATCAATTGCAGACTTTTGGTCATATCTCTGGATCTCACATAAACCCTATTATTACCATAGCCGCAGCTGTTACCGGACAACTGGCTTTTATTGAGGTTCCTATTTATTTTATTGGCCAGTTTGTGGGAGCATTCATCGGTTATGGATTACTAATGGTGAGCCCCTGTGATGCTTTGAAGATATACACTTAATACTAGTTTTGCAGAGCATTACCCCTGAACACCATCAAGCTAAATATGAACTGCGACACACAGGGCTGAACATAACCGAAAACGTTAAAGTTCTAGGCGTTTGTTCGCCGCAAATGAACGCAGAACTGTCAGGTCTTCAAGTGATGTTTTGCGAATTTTTGTTATCGCTACTGTTCGTTTTAATTGTCTGTTCGGTGTGGGATTACAGAAATGCGAATAAACATGACTCCGTGGCCCTTAAGCTGGGCCTCGCGATCACTGGTCTCGCATTGGCTGGTGTAAGTATTACATTGCCTCTTACGTTATCCATCATTAACCGGCATAAACTATTTTAGGGACCGTTTAGCGGGGCTAATATGAATCCGGCAAGAAGTTTTGCTCCTGCGGCTTGGCATGGGGACTGGAACCTCCATTGGGTAAGCATTTTTTATTCGTTACCTACTGAAGTCCATTACTCAGCCCTTGAATGATAATGGTAACTACTATTAACTATTAAATTGACTAGTAGGAAGCAAGTAAGTTTTCAAGTCGATTATAGCACATACAAATACATATTAAGCAGAAGAATAGGGTCCCAAACTCATCTAGGTAAGCATCGTTCGGAATCCGTCCCGAAATGGACAAAAAATTGATACAATCAGAGATTGGGACTGCATTAGGTTCAGTCTCCGTGGAATAAACGGCTAATGGAATCGTACAGGGTAATTCCTCATGAATACGTAAATGAGTACTTTATTAATAACATAAATAAAGGCATAACTGCCTGTATAAAATAACAGAACAATGACTCATTTCTATAGGTAAAGGTAAACAAGCAATAGCTTAGAGCACGCCATGCTTTCAATGAACATCAAAATCTAATGCAAAATTGAATTAATAACAAATTGTGACATAAAAAAGAATGAACATGATTACCACCTGTAATTACGCTGTAAAACAAGATACGAAGAATCGCATACGATTTTCACTAGGGGAATTTTTTACCACTCAGCTCGCATTCGGCAACCAGACCTTTAATCCGGCTCATATTCAATAGCACTGATCCATAAGCTCGTAGAAACCGATCGGCGAAAGTTTGACATCGCTATCTCTTTTCGTTCTCGTTAGACGAGGAACAGGCGGACGAACAGACGGAAAAAACCATCACATACCGGGAATTTTTTTCTTTCGAAAAATTCCCCTAAAAAACAAAGGAACAACATTGCAAATCCGGTATGCGTACAGTTACTCAAGCGATCGAAACTTGACTTTTTAACTAACTCTTCTGCCCAAAACCACGGCTTTGAAAATTCTAATAAACTTTCCCTGAATTCTCGTCCGCCGGTAATGAGCGCGAAAAAACATTGTTATGCTAACATCAAATCCAAAATCGATAAGAACATAGGTACATATTTGTTGAGATATTTCAATACAGGTATTACCATTGTTTATAAACAATAGTATTACCAATCAATAAGTAATTTGAAAAGTCGGTATGCACACGGATTCACTTAAAATTGGGTTGTACTCCTGAATGTCGCGTATAAAAAAAATGCGCTTTATCCATTGGCGTGAGTGTGACGGATTCGCCACTTCTTCTACTTTGTATAAAAGGTTGTCTATTCTTCTAGGTTCATCACAACTTGTTTTCTTGATTTCTCTGGTAGTTTCTAAATACAGAGATCATAATTAACCTCATTGTGACTTTAGTTTAAGCATGAAATTTGGCTAAAGGAAAGTTACTATAATCTCTATTTTGTTTCAGGCTTACTGGATAGGTCCAATACTGGCCGGATTTGTTGGTGGAGCGCTGTACAGAATTTTATTCACGAAACCGAGACCTGTCGAAGTCGAAGATACCATCGAAATAACGCCATTAAAACAAAGAAACACAAATTAAACTCATTCATTAGCGCACTTTCCGTGCAAACATTTAGTGGAGTAACTTGAAATTTATGTGTAATAGATATTCATAATAACGTTCGCTATTTTTGTATAATGTAGGTACCTACATATATGTATATATATATATATAGAGAATTTGATATTATAAGCGATGTATAAGTACCGAAACACAACAAATTTGTTAGATTTAGAGTAAGTGCCTATAGAATATTTTATGATACAATTGTGACAATTTCCATATTGTATTATATGTCCTTGGAATGCATTCCGTTATTTGGAATTCTAAATTATCATTTCAAAAACTGTAAAACCACAAAAGTTACAAACCCGGTAACATTCAACTCGAAATTGAGACTATCCTTGATTTCTTAGATACCTACCTAACACACTTACCATATTTTATTATGAAATAATAAGGTATATTCTAATAAAGCTGTTTTATTACTTAGTTTATCGATTGGACGTTGAATCTAAGTGGAACCCCACAAGATCGAACAGTAGAATCATTTCAAAAAAACCTACAAAAGGCGCACTTACGTATTAATAAATACCGTTTCGAAAAGGAAATGCGGTACCAGGTACCTGAAATGACTACCACGACCTACCTACCTACGTTTAGCTGTGTCCTAACAATTGTACACCTGTTTTGTCCTCCCCTAATAAAATTGGCAAATATTTTGTTCCAGCACCTCATTGTGAAGGTATTCGCAACTGAGTTTTGATGCACTTTGTGAAGTATGGGTTTCTGACCGCTCCTCGCAATGTATCGAGTTACGAGGCGGCAAACCATATGTTTTAAATAGAATGTATTAAGTTACGTAGGGGCGGTAAACCTTCTGTTAGTTACCGAAGGGTCCTTAAAAAATTCAACATTCTTATACAGCATCTTGTATCACAAGCATCACGATAATAAACTGAAAATCCATCTGAGTTTTATCCTTATTCGGTACTGATCAAAGATTAATACATAACATTGGCGACGAGGATGGGATAACACACTTGATACATGCCTCTCGTCCAACGTTTCCCTTGTGAGCACCAATCTTCCTAAATTGCGTCCTCCATAACGGTACTTTCCAGTCTAGTTCTAAATAATTGGTTTCGCAGATGATTTTTTTTTCCAATTTGGGGTCCGGGATAGCATTTTTGTTGTTGCATAGTTTTCAAATTTGGGTATTGCCAGTGATAACATCCCTGGCTTCTAGAATTATGCGTTGACAACTTGATGCCGTGGAATGACGAAATGAACGAATGACGCCAACCGTTTACGCTATGGGAATTTTCCCATACGTACTGGTGAGCGTTGTTTTTTTGTTTCTCTCTGGGTTAAGTGGAGTTCGCGTAGACTGTAGAGGTTCCACAAGAAAGAGATCGCGAGACCAATTATTACTAATAGGGCAGCAGTAAAAAGGAATGTTTAAAATTGACAATAAAAAAATTGGAATTATAGAGCTAGAGCTACCGTACCGCCCAACAAAACTCAGCTAAGGTTTTTCACCACCAAAATTTATAATGAGCAACATGGTTGATGGTGATACTGGCAACCATTCAAAAGCAAAAGAAAGGCGAAACAGGAAAAAAATGCATTGTATTCGCCACAAAGCCCCACTTGGAATCAGCGAGCTATGTTACAAACATAAAAAAGTACGGTCTAGTAGTGAATACGGAACCGAACCCTAGGACATACATAATGACAGCAGACAGCAATGTTTACAGAATGAGTACAGCCATAGAGGAAATTCTATGGTAGGTACAGCACACCTTAAAAGTCGCAAACACGCCAACTCGGCAACTAGAATCCCTAGAAACACCAAACGATTTCCAACAAACATTAATGAAAGGGGAGACGATACAGAAGACAACAGCAGAGTTCAAGAAATTATTGCCTAAAGTCAAAAGAGAAACTGAAAGAGGAAGCGATTCAGAAAAAAATGCGACAAACCAACAACGCGCAACCATTGCGAAAACAGAAAAGAGCAAAAGTGATAACAAAGATAAGATCTTTGACACTTGCCAAAATTGGAAACAGCCCTCAGTGCCATCATTGAAAAAAGAATCTTCTTTATTCAATGGTTCCATCCTTCCATATATGTAAAGGGCGAAGTAAAACATTTAACAAAAAATACATGGTAAGTGCTTGGAAGGCGTGGTAACTTAGAACCGTTGGGTTATGTATAACAAATATTTCTTTTGCTCGCCTCAATCGCCCAATTTTTTAGTTTTTTTGAAACTGATCCACCGTTCCTCTAAACGGGGTCGAGTGATATCAAAGATTAAGAAAATCGGATCTCAAAGCCTTCCCCATACATCGATTGTTGTACTATTGTTGTGTTTTAATAGTACAACAATAAATGTATGGGAAGGCTTTGAGATCCGATTTTCTTAATCTTTGATACAATTTTTTTGCGCAATTTCTTAAGAATGACAAAAATGTACCTAAGTACTATCCCAGACAACATATACTATGTTGTCTGTGGTACTATCAAAGACTAGATAGTCTTTGGTACTATTTACCTATTGTTTGCGTAATGTCCGCCCAGATCTTTTTCTACACGTGTTGTGATGTGTGTGTTCATAGAGTAAACAACGTTATTTACTCTATGGTGTGTTTCACAATGTATAGAATTGAAAATGTTACAGGCAATGATGTTGATTACTGACTCGTTGACTTGTAGTTGCTCCTCAATAAATAATGCGATGTTGGTATTTATATCCAAAACTTAATTTAAGTAGATGTATGCCAATAAAATTTGGCAACGTTATGCACAGGTAAAGCGCCAAATTTAAATATCCCATCAAAATCAAAATCGATACGTTACCTGAATTATACCTTTAAATCAATAATGCAGGTAATATATCGTCTGCTTTATTTATGATCCAAAAGTTAAAGGTTATAATATAAACAATTCCATTAAGTCGCGAATCCTCATTGAACAATCCTTCTACACCTTGATTTGATGTATATGGAAACGTACGTACTTGTAGAATAATCTTGAGCACTTTTTCCACTAAATATAACTAATTTAAACTTCACATGTAAACATACTTCATGTTCGTATTGCGTCCTTGACGCGTCTCCCTAATGAATATCAATATGAATGCGAATGAATGCCCACACAACCCTATTTTGGTTTGCCATTAGTCAGTTATATTGAAATTTTTAATTATAATGAAAAACGTATGGTTTCAGTAACCAAGACCTAAAAATTCGTGCTTTGCTATTTTGATTTGCAAGTTTTTGGGATAGGTGGAAGAGATTATTTAATGTGAATCTATCGAGTCTCATATCTGATATCACCTCCCAATTACATCGAAAACACAGTGTCAGAAAGGATGCTCATAAAAAATAGAACGTACTTATTGACAACATGGAATGGAATAGTGATGGAACAAAAAATTCAAGTGCGAATATCTTCAGAATGGAGTGTGGGAAGTGCCAAGTGGTTGTGCACAAAGGAAACATTCTTGGCAAGACGCAACTGTTGGTAGGGTTAAAACAATAAACATTCGTTGGAGCGCTCACAAGTCGCGTCAAACTGCCATATACAGTGATGTTCATGTAGAAGTAGACATATAGGGATTTCCTATAGGAATTTCCTATGCCTATGATTACGTTGAGAAATAAATTAATTGAAAAACAAACTAGGATTTTTATTATGAATGGTTTCTATGTTTGTTTTTTAATTAATTTATTTCTCAACGTAATCACATAACAAACAAACTACTATGGAGAACTTCATACTACGAATTCCTATGTCTACTTTTACATGATAAAAAGTCTCCTGAAAGACGCCTAATTTTATGCAACCAAAGTAACTACCAATAACAAAATGATCTGCCTGTCATGTTAATTAATTTGAATATTATCGCTTTGACGTCCCTATTACTAATTTGGGTTCGTGTGCGATGTATTCGACTAAAGAAAAAGTTGATATTTCCAATTGGTATAGTGCTGATAACAGTTAAATTCTGTGAAACTAAAGCAGCAATATTCAAATTAATAATTAATACGACAGCCAGATCTTTATTAGTTTCAAAAAGTTATTTTGGTTGCATAAAATTGGGCGTCTATTAGGAGACTTTTGGAATTTCCTATGTCTACTTTTACATGATTTGCACCGGCTAATTTAAGCGGAGCTTAGCTTAAGCGTAGCTTAAAATCCATGGCAACCATTGTCTCAATAATCGTTGCCATGGATTTTAAGCTACGCTTAAGCTAAGCTCCGCTTAAATTAGCCGGTGCAAATCATGTAAAAGTAGACATAGGACATTCCTATAGGAAATACCTATGTCTACTTCTACATGAATATCACTGTATGTGTAATACCCCAGCCACACACTCGTCGAGTAGCATGGGAAGTAGCGTGACGAGGAGGCAGAGACGTAGTGTGGCCACATCACTCGCAATGCCGCATGTGCCGCACGTCATGCTCCTCGTTCTGCCAACCGCTCCATGTTTTGTCGGTTTTTTGGGCGCGAGTCAAAGGATCGGCAATACGAGCGCGAGTGACTGGCCACATAATCGCGCGAAGCGCTGGCAGAAAGCATCATCCTTATTAGACCGAGAGCCCGCGTAGAAAATACCTCGTCATAGGGTACAAAAGGTTTGATGTAACTAGGCCATAAAATGTCACCGTGTGATTCCAAAATCGCCCGTCTGCCGGCCCGCGGCGGTCAACTTAGCGTGGGGGCGAATTTTGAAAACTGTTCCAAATCACATAATACCTCGTCACTGGTACACGTATGATTTTTTGCAATCTGATTCGGAAATGTGCACCAAATTGCAGCAGCAGACGAATTTATCTGAGCAACTTTCCCGAGCAGACGCGTTTAAAAACATTCAAAAATTGTTAAATACTTCGTCATAAAGTACACGCTCGAATTATAGCTTAAAATAAAGCTCTTCGAATGTAGAATTTAGGAAAACCATGAAAAACGCGGCAGACGGTCGCATAACTATAGCAGACGCCTTTGAAATTTGTAGTTCCATCTTCGTTTAACGCATTACTCCCCGTGCGGTAAAGCGAGAGCGCTGTCCCTGAAGCACGCTCTGTTTGTAAAAACGGATCTATAACAAATATATAACCAAAAAAAAACGAATAGGTACGCTAGGGGTGCGGGGGTAAATGCCAAAACTGAGGGAAATTTTCCATTAAATATCCCCATAACTATCTAAATGAAGGTGTTTAGCTTCATCGATTCATTTTATCAAAATTGCAATGGTTCGTTTTGAAATGAAAGTCTTGTATAGGTATCGTTACGGCATTTGACATTATTTTACTATTTTGAATTTTGGCACCATCAATGTGTATTTCTCATTATTTTATCAAAAATTCGTCAATAAATCCAATTAACAAAATCATGTTACGCCATGGAAATTTTCTGAAGCATTGAAACAACGTGCGATCATAAATGAGTTGCTGTCGAGTCGCCTTTGGAAGTTCAAGTTAAGTACGATTTCCCATGTAAACAAAAATTCCAAAGGTAACTCGACAGCAACTCATTTTTTATCGCATAGTGGAACAGTTTTCAAAATTCGCCCCCACGCTAAGTTGACCGCCGCGGGCCGGCAGACGGGCGATTTTGGAATCACACGGTGACATTCTACGGCCTAGTTACATCAAACCTATTGTACCCTATGACGAGGTATTTTCTACGCGGGCTCTCGGTCTATATTTTTTTTAATGACGAATAGATGTCATCCAACATCTGCGTTAGTGAAGACGACGAGAACGTATCTCTTTTTATGAAATTGATGTAATTAGTTATACCAAAAATGCATAGCCAACAGTTTCGACATCCATCGTGTTGCAAAGGCAAATGCCAAATGCGGAGTGGGGCGATTAATTGCACGAGTAAAGGAGTGTGTGGACAAAGAGCGAAATATCGCGGCAGCACGTAGAGCAGGGCGATGGGCAGTGCGAGGAGCATAGTGTGGCTGAGGCATAATGTTACAGGTTACTGGATTGCAAAAATATTTCTGCATATAGTTTGTTTTTGTGCAAAATTTAAGCTTCTTTGTCTTTGTTTTGTGCTCCAATTTTTCATCGCTAGATAAATCGTAATGCAACCAACCCAACATACTTAAAATAAAATTGTGCTTTTTAATTAGTTTCACTGATATAGCAATAAATAATGACATGGTAACAGATATATCACAGCACAGATTAAGTGTATTTTGTCTGTGATCACAGGCTCAAAGCCCTCCGCATGTATACCATTCTATTTTCACATCAACGAGGCATGTGAAGCTGCATAGTATTAGGCGTGACAAATCATGAATGTAATTTTTTTCACTACTAGCGTCTGATGACATGATTATTAACCTTTTTTCCACTTGTAAAGTAGGCTTTCTCGGCATTTGTTCAACATTATTAACTAGTAGTCAATAATGAGAACTGTCACGCTGTCACTTTTAGAAAACACAACCCGAAATTTCGCTCAATAAACGTTTAGGACAAGTTCTCTAAAATGAATAATTGCCACCATCCGCCATTTCCAGAGAAATTACATACCTAAAATTATCACATTTTGAAAAAATTCGAACGAAATTACTCTTTGAAAATATCTCAATGACAGAACAAAATACGGCCTGTTTGACTTGTACTTCAACGTACTTGATTGACATGTTAAATTAAGAAACAAACAATTCTGTCCAACCGTTCACTTTCTTATCAATATAATATGTTAATTTAGAGGACTTCAAGTGCTAGTAGCGAAAAAAATAGTATATATACCACGGTAGAGAAGTCTATTATTGCCTTCGCACCTTACACCCCTCGGCGCAAGCGCCTCGATATGTAATCTTGGTGCTCAGGCAATAAATACTGTACTTCTCTACCTTGATATATAATGTACTATTATTCAATGACTTGATGCATTTTTTGTCATTTAATGTTTTATGTTACATAATAATTGGAGTTGTCTTAAACTTCTTTGTCTGGTTCACCCAAGATTTAATGCCTACCTACACCTACAAGAATTACGACAATGAGACCACATTGAAATAGAGAGTACATTTGTACCAGCGGCCGAGTACGTTGCGAACCTGCTCGCTTCGTGCTGGAGTACCGTCTCAACTACACGAATTTGTTATATTACATATTACCGTTGAGTGACGTTAATTATTCAATGATATTACATTACACGTTCCGTTCGAATAATGTACCTATACTTCCACCATTGCTTCCACTAACTGGCAAAATCGCGGCCCGGCGATTTTACGATTTTGAGGGACTGATGATCTATAGGCTCATTTGGAACTGTTTACACAAAGAGAGTTTTTCATTAGCCCGGCACTGTGAAAGAGGAGTTTAGAATGCCCGAAGTCTGCAAAGCGCATTTGACGTCAATGATCAATGCTGACGTCGCTGACGACAGATCTCAGATACCGTATCTCCGAGCGGCCGACCACTATGCAAAAACGGCCTAAAGAAATATTATGTCACAGATTAACTACTACCATTCAATGCTATTACTATTGCATTTTCTCCATGCTACTACTGTCGTTAATCTCTGACTATGTGATCAAAAATGAGTTGCGACGAGTCACCTTTGGAATTTTTGTTAACATGGGCATTGTTTAAATACTTTATTTAAACACTGACTAGGGATACCCTCTTGATATCTTACCTATGTATCTTACTTAACTTGGAACTTCCAAAGGCGACTCGACGGCCACTCATTTTCGATAGCCCGTCAGTGCCGTTTTTAAGACAATAAATTCTTCGGTGCAAGAAGTATTCATGGGCCCGTCCAGACTAGAAAATAGAAATTATCTGTGCCTACCGAATATACTTTTTTCAATAATCTTTATTTGGTTTCAAAAATTCAAAACAAAATAAAATCGAATACTACGAGTAAATAAGTAAACAGTATAAAAATTAAAAAAAGTTATTACCTATATACTCGTATTTACACAAATTAAATTCGAACACCTCTTCTTGCTTTCAAAGACATAAATTCTTTCACTACTGCTTTTAAATCTAAACTATCCAAGGTATTCCTTTCTACAGAAAGTAGTGTCTTAACTGGAAGTTCTTTGTGATGTCATAGAACTCCTCAAGTGGTTTTTTAATCTTCGCAATACACTAAAACTTCTCTCTGCACTAGCAATTCTAATTGGTAAGGTAACAAATAATTTGAATAACATTTCCAAGTTAGGAAACACATTCCAGATATGCTGATCTGCGAAATACTATGCCATCAAAAATGAGTTGCTGTCGAGTCACCTTTGGAATTTTTGTTTACATGAGAAATGGTACTTAATTTGAACTTCCAAAGATAACTCGACAGCAACTCATTTTTGATTGCTCGTTATTCGAGATATCCTAGTACTCCGCGATCGGCGCCATCACAGCCAGTACTAGTTTGAGCAAAATATATATCTCTGAATTGCACTAATTCGTCAAATATGGAAGGCGATAGAAATTCAAATTTTTCACTTAATTGTGACGCCTTTCATGGATGTAAGAAGCCAAAATATTCTGTAACTTCCTGTAGTCCATGTATACGCTCTTTGAGTTCGGCTATCATACCGTCAATAGTTACAAACATCACTTGCACCTTAAATCGTATCGCTGAATCCTGAATTGGTTCATCTTGTGCTATAGTTCTCCAGCCATTTGATTCCTTTTACGTGTTCTTAATTTTTAAAAACACATTTCTCCTGCGTCCATACCTGATTCCAGCCATATTTTCGAACCCGTTTTCACAATCCTTTCGAATTCACATGAAACTGAATAGAAGGATGTTGCGTATAATTGTACGCTTACGCAGCGTATTGCGTGTAATATTTTGACCATCGTTCCATTCCGTGGGCCCGTGACGGGCCCGTCGGAGCAACGCTGCGACTGCACCTATGTTAAAAACGGCACTGTCGCCCGTTATAAGATTATCCTCTACAAACTTTTTGTTACGTCACTCACAATTCACAAAGTCAAACAGTGATAACGATAAGATCAGTTAGGCAATTATTAGCAGAAAGATCCGTTATCACTGATCTGATTGATATACTAAATAACCTTCATTACATAATACATTTTTAGATAGATAACCAGAAATAAACTTATCTTAACTATTGTTCAAATTTACCGCTCGCGCTATCGATTCAAAAATTACCACTTTCGCGCCGTCCTTCAGCAGGCTGTCTCTTTTCACGAGCCTATACAACTTCAAACGTAATCGGTCGCCACTCGCCAGTCGCCACTCGCCACTAGCCAGCTAGTTTATTTCGAGATGGCGTTTGTTTAGCACGTCTTGTAAATATATTCGGTTTAAGTCGTGTTGGGCGGTTATTTAAACACTTGTGTTGTTTATTTACGTGTATTGTTCTGTTTTGTTGTATTAAAAATACCCTGGGATTGACGAACGGATTTTCATATTTGACCTCTGGGTAAGTTTACCTATTCACAAAAATAAGGAGTGTTTTGTACCAGTCAAGTCGTATTTTCCATACATTTTAAGTTGTACGATTCCGCTTGACTTCCACATAAATTAGATGATCTTTTACTATAATTTATTCCGAATTCCATATTCGTGGCGTATTCTATGTATTGACTGTTTCGATATCGACAAAAAAATCGGTTATAGAAATTAAATTGAAATGTATTTATTTAATAGAAAATTCACAACATGTTTCATGTTTGTAGCAGGTGGGTGTGATTTGGAAAATACAATGAAGGTTATTCCTCTCGGTCTCAATTTTAAATTCGCATAAAATAAATTAAAATTGAGTGTTATGTTGTAGAAATTGCTGAGCAGACATTCTCGTGCAATAGGTGCAGGATAAGTGTATCATCCACCTCGGTTTTTTTTTAAGTTGGAATTGCCTCGAACCATGTTTTTTAGGCATTGGACTAGATACGTTTGATTAATTTTATGAAACAAAGTTGCAATCAGTGCTGGAGGGGGTATAGGTCATATAGGTAACAAAAAATTGGGATGTTTCCCCCCCCCCCCCAAATAGAAGATGTGGGCAGCGATGGTCGCATTTTGAAAATACTCAAAATATATCGCCAGCATTTTCAATGCTTCTTCATTAGAAATCGGCATTTTGGAAAAGATTACAAATTCAAAAAACTGCACTTTCTGAATGTAAACACAGCAGAATAATTTACAAATTACGGCTGTTATTATTTTATAATGCATCGTGTTTCATTTGTTTAATTTTCCAAGGCCTATCTTAAAAGTGTAGGGTGCTTTTCTTTCGCGTCATCGACAAATACCGGAAATACGTAAAAAGTAAATTTAAGATACAATTTAAGCATTTTTATTAATTAATTAATTAATCTCATTTTCTCAATATTTGAGGTTAGGAACGAGATTTTGAAAAACGGTTTTCACTGGCCTCTTTGGAAGATCATTCCATTTGATTTTTTTCATTTTTTTTATGATTTTGGATCATAGTGTCAAAACTAGCCCCCTGGCGGAGAAGGATTCAACTAAATTAACTAAATTATTTTGGTTGATTCTTGTTGCCCAAGGAATCCTCTTTTCAACCTCGTTTTCAACCATACCAAATTTGTTAAAATCGGTCAAACGGTTAAGAAGTTAAAGCAGGTTATTGCGAAAACCTCGGCGAAAACAATTGAACGCCCCACACCATCTTCGTTTTTGAAATAAATGAGTTTTTGTTTTTACGAAAATGTTAAACTCGAGGATAAACTGGTTCTTTTTAAAAATGCGAAAACAAAATTTTTAGTTTATTACTTATGCGTAGGTAATTTAAAGAAAATGCAATTTTAAAATTTAAAATGGCAGTTACGCCCTCTGTTGGTCATTTTTAGAACTTGAAAATATTTTCCAGCCATTCTTCATGACCGATTTACCCAATAATTTTTTTTACACCTAAGTTATATGACGAACGGTTCTCGAGATATAGTCGAGGGACAGTCTTATTGGGTCACCCGGTACAGAAACAGAACAAAAAAAATTCAACAGAGATCTTTTGTATCCTCGTTTGTATCACTAAAAAGAAAGAGAATTGTAAAATTAGAGCAGTGACTTATATTAACAGCTGGTATCTCGCTGGTAAGTTAGTACTGCTTTGGATTTTAAAAGAAGTAGTCCTCCCTGTACATTTCGATGTCGATGCTGAGCGTGCATCATCGGCAGGAAAAGTAATACTTTGACATATTTTTTTGTGCGGTTTGAGTCCTTTGTCTATGTACGATTTAACAACTGTTCTAGATCGCCATCCGCCATGACGTTTCAGCGCTGTTACATCTGGTGCGGCATCCCCAAGCAGCGTAGCTGAAGATCTTCGGAAGCAGTGGGCAGTGTTTGCCCTTAGCTCCAAATTTGTTGATGCCATTTGCCAGATTGGGAATTTATACTATGCATAGCCCCCCCCCCTCCCCCCTTTGCTCGAAACTTTACATCCATATCTCAACCGTTTCCAATTTAGAAGAGGGGAGAGAGTATTTACGTCCCGCAATGTATTTAGTACCCTATAGTCAATATTGAGGGTTTTTATTTTAACCCTTTATGATCTTTTCAGAACTCTAAAAAATCGAAAAAAGTTTACTTTTGACACCATGGAGGCTGCGAGGATGCGCGATATCTATTGTGTTACACGGGTAGGTCGTATCGCACAAAAGTTAATCTTCAAAACGAAATTGAACAAGTTCTAATATAGGTCTTTTCTGTGTGATATGGCATACGGCATGCTAGATTTCATAAATTTTCTAAATGTTGAATAACGAATTTTTCCATTTTTTTATATCAACCCGAGTATCAACATACAGCAAATTCATCACTCTTTTCAAATATCTTAAAAAAACGAAACGCAAAAGTGACATTGATTTCCGGTTAAACCGGAAGAGATACCGACGAGGATACCGAAAGATTCGATATGCTATCCGATGCTATCGGAAAGACCCGAGCGAGGACCCGAGCATAGACCGTAATGTCACATATAAAGTAATATTTGACACATTTTTCGGGTCTCGCCAAATAGAAGAGTAATTGAGGTGACCCTCTTATCTTGAACTCACTCCCGAACTCACTGTATCTCGCACTGTATATAAATAAATTCAATGAACGCAGAACTTTATGCCCATGTGAAACTGTTGGCGAAGAAAACATGATATTTTGCAACGGCGGCAAAACATGGTTTCATGGATTATGTTTGAATCGAAATCCCAGATGAAGAAAACTCGCTGTTTTATATCCTAACAAGCCGTGGTTTTGCAAAACTTGCGAAAAACGACTGAAAGATATTGTATGTACCGATGGCAATTGTGTAAACAACACAACGTATTTGACCTTCCTTGCATATTTCGGTCTCCTTTACCCATTAATCACATGCTTCCAGGGCCCAGGCACAATAGCAGCGACTTTCGGTACCAAATTTGACATCCGCTTCTAATGCATATCATTATTTATGTCCAAAAAAAACAAACGAGAAATGAGGTTGGACAGACGGCGTTAGGAAAGTGTGCATTGCCGGTATAACCAATGCCGGGATGATCGATGCCGGGATAGTAATGGTCGCCGGGAAAACAGTGCCGGGGTCTACGTCGCTGAGATTTACATTGCTGGGATGGGATGGATGTACCGCACCTGACGAGTCTACTGAACGTTTCGCGTCACTGAAAAAGATGTAGCAAAAGCTATCATTAACTTTCTCTCACACGCTTCTGGAACTTTATGCTCTCCGATGGAGTTCCAACTTCTATTACTCTGGTATTGTTAGCATCCTTAGATGAGATTACTTTCGTCCCGTCCAGTTAGGTTTTGCGACTAAAAGAGTATGTGAGGCTGCTTACTTTAAAAACGCATTTAACTTAGTGGAGCAAGACGCTTTATTGAACCTCAAGTGGGCTATTTTCTTGTAGAACACTGTTTCGCCACCCCAAAACTCTTATATAATTGCTTTGTACGACTGTTTCGTGGATACTATCTAAAACTATACTACAGTTTGATGAAATCATGAAGATTACTTTGGAAAAGATTTTGACTGTGATATGTTCGCCTCTCTCTCTAACAGACATCAGCGAGACTGCTTTAGCGCAATTACTAGCCTTTGTGCTGATTCCATTGAACCCGCAGTACCCCAATACCAGAAAATTTTGTTCGTGTTTTTTCGACCTACCTTTCGAGTTACAACCGAACAAAGCAAAATTTCTTGCTTCAAGAACACCAGATACAAGTACATGGCTCACTCAAAGAGCTCACTGCAATTCCATCAAGGACAATAATCTATCAGAAGGCGAAAGCCAAAATATCTTATTTGTTTATAAATTTCATTGCGGAAGTAGCAAATCACACTTCCGCAGGTAAAAAGTAATTAAAATTATGTTAAAGCTTTGAATACTGTACGTAATTCAATACCCCAATACGCGCTTTGCAAACCATCGAGATCTTGTACTGCAAAGTTACACACGAGGTTACACATCTTCCAAAATCTGAAATATAATTGCAGTATTTTATCTGGATTTTATCGTTGTTATGTGCAATATTTTAAGCGTTCCAAATAGTGGCGGAAATGAGAAGTTGAATAAGTATAATTTATGTTTCCTGCGGTAGCAAATGATAAATGAGATTATTTTTTATTCGACTTTTATCTTTCTAAGCACACTATATTATAATCCGCAAAGTACTAATACCAACAATCAACTAAGTATATACAGGGTGGTGACTTGCGTAACGCATCATAGGGATTTCAATGTAAAATTCATAACATGCGATTTTTGGCTTACCAAATTATTTTAGAGCAAAAATGTAAGGTTCCTCGGGTTTTTTGCAGGAAAAAATTTTTTTACGTCAATCAACCGTATTAGTTTTTCAATTTTTTGCATAATAAAGACGGAAAATTGGAAAAATAAAACCCGCATCTTTTTCAATAATCTGTGATGCCATGGAATTTTATAATACAAAAACTACGCCAATATCCGTCATGCCATGGAATGTCTGCTATAAAACAAATCAAATTCTATCAAAAAGTATTATATTTAGAACAGCGAATTCAACATAAAGAAAGACCAAATTACTAAAAACGGTTTCCTAATATAACAATTTACAATAAATGTTCGAATAAGTCACCATTAACTGCAAGACAGTAACCAAAGTCGATCATAAAATCCATTTCGAACTGCTGCTAATAAATTGATAACTGGACATCTTTTTGTTTTAGAAAATTCCATGGCATCGCAGATTATTGAAAAAGATGCGGGTTTTATTTTTCCAATTTTCCGTCTTTATATGAAAAAAATTTAAAACTAATACCGTTGATTGGTGTAAAAAAATGTTTTCTACAAAAAACTAATAAATTTTTGCTTTAAAATAATTTGGAGAATCAATAATCGCATGTTATGAATTCTACATTGAAATCGTTATGAGGCGTTACGCAAGTCACCACCCCGTATACCCTCTTATCTCAAAGCCATCATC